CCCTTCCTATCATCCTCCAAGGCCCAGCTCTCTCTTTTTTGCCCCATTCTCCTTCTTGTGGCTACTTATGGCACAAGCTCCTCTATGACCCGAGTGAAACAATTCTCACTTCCATCACTGGAAGGATGCAGCAGAGACTAAAGAGATGGGTCACTGTGAGGTTGAGGGGAGCACTGGGGAGGAGGAGCACTTACTTCTCCAGGACACCTAGATGTATGGCTCTGACTCTTCTGAGTCAGTGTTGTCTGTAGTGTTTGCCTCACAATATCCACTTAAAATATTACGCACCAAAGTTACTTGGATTAGTTCTTTTAGTCTCTAGCCCCTTCCATGTGATTGTATTCATCACTTATAGTATCATTAAGTTAATTTGTTACAGTTTGTACCCTACCTCTGGTGTCTTGCCATCTGTGGGACTAAGACTATACAGCAGAGATCTAGAATGTTCCAGAATACCAGGAAAGCAGTAAAAGGTGCTACCAGAAGCTCAAGCCCCATGTCTCCCTCCCTGTAAAATATGGGCCCTCCAGTTCTGCCCTTTAGCACTCACTGAGAAGTCCCCCAAGGAAAGCCCTGTGGGAGCTGCTATGGGCATGGAGAAGAGCAGACCCTAGTCCTCCCACCAGCCCTCTTCCTGGTGGCAGATGACCCCTCCTGTATCACAGTGTCATGTCAACGTGGGAAGAAGATATAGAAACAGCTGCATCCCCCGTGTCCTACAGACCCATCCCCAATCCCAAGTGCTGTGTGGGGTCTCCAGGAAGGATTCTGAGTCCTCTGTGCTGGCTCAGAAGAGGAACTCGAAGATAGCTCAGGCCCCACTGTGAATGTTTCAACACCACCCTGGGGTGGGGGAGACATTCCCAGCAGTACTGGAATTTCACAATGGGGACTCCTTTTACCAAGCTGGGGCTGGGGAGTGGGGCCAGGGAAGCCAGGCCTGGTCTGCCAAGCTTTTGAAAAATGGCATCATCCTGGAGAGAGGTGGCCCCACAGTCTTCCCCCTCCCCAAAGCCAGAACGTTTTTGCCGACAAGTCACAAGGAATGACTGCTGACTGACTGAGTCATCAGGCGGAAATGAGCATGCTAGGCTGAGGTGCTGAGCCACCACGTGCTGGACTGGCCCTGGAGCAGCTCAGCTGAGGGCCCCGCAACTGGACTTCCTTTGGTCCCCAAGGCCTAGTGCCCAGAAAAAACATTTTTTTTGTTTGGTACCATGGATCAAACTCAAGACCTTATGCTTGTGAGGCAGGCAGCAGCACCACTGAGCTAAATCACTGGCCTGAAAATCTTGACTCTGAGAAGATCTGGGGCCAAGGTCTAGATGGCCCAAGGATGCCAGGGAGGCTGGCACACTGGAAACTTGATCCAGAGTCCTGAGGGTACTGGTGCTTTTTTGGAGAAGGCCGTGGCAGTCTCCACTGAACTGGATACACTGAGTCCAAAAGGGAGAAGAGAGGGAGAAGCCATGGTCAGCTGGCCTTGAAAGGGACCTGGGGGGCAGCTGTTGGTGCTCTGCAAAGCCTGCTGGCAGCGACCCCAAGGCACTGTGCTCTCAGCGTCATACCTTTAAAGACAGGGGTGTGGTAGGAGTGACTTGGCTGAGAATGTACATTTGTGTCTTGTGTTCACATCATGGCCATGTAGGACACATAAGTGACTCCTGCCAGCCTCAAGGCAAGACCAGCTGTCCCGTCACATCAGAGGCTGGGCTGAGGGGAGACTTCAAACCCAGTTTACACAGTTCAACCTGAACTGTGGGGATCCACACACCTGCATGATCATTTCCCTGGATGAGGACTGCTGGGTGTCCCCTCTCTGGCTAGCGATCTTCTGAGCTCTGGTCCTCTCTGGAGGAAGCAGGGCTGTGCCGGGCAGCTGGCACAGGAAGACATAGTGGGTTGAGATCCACAGTCTGGTCCTCTCTGGAGGAAGCAGGGCTGTGCCGGGCAGCTGGCACAGGAAGACATAGTGGGGATTGAGATCCACAGCTACATCATGGTAACTGAGTCTGCAGTTGTTGAGTAGAAGCATAACTTAGTTTTACTTTTCTTTTAGTAACTGCATCGGACTGTGGCAAGGGTCAATGCAGTGTAGTGGCTAAGAACCCAGATTCCCTGGGTGAGTGTCCTGACTTTGTCACCTGCTAGCTGTGTGACCTCAGGCACATTGTTTGACATCTCTGTACTATCAATTGCCCATCTCTTCCTTCTGTCTCATCAGCCTCCCACAGAGGTTGTTCAGCCATCAGCCTCTTACTGTTTGGTTTCTGTCACCCTGCTGGTGGCCTACTGGGGTGAAGTAACAAGGCACCCACTCAAGTTAACTTTTGTTCCTGGTATCCAGCACCCCACCTCAGCAGGGAGCTCGTGTCTGTGATTTGCCCTACAGTGGCCCTTCCAGATGCCCCATCTGCCCTATCTCAGCCCTTTAGCCCTGCCATTGCTCCCAGGCCACACAGGAGCAGCCGAGTGGGTTTTGCTGGCTGAGCAGGTAGCAAGCTGAGGCTACAGTGGCAGGGTCTGCACCCAGCAGGCTGCCTGGTCTGTACAATGGATCTCCCTCTGCCTATCCCTGTCTTCCATGAACAAGCCCCTTACCCACTGTAGTTCCCATCTTCCTCTTCTGTGAAGTGAGGGGCCTGTGAGTGAGGGAGACCTGTGACTTCCTCCAGTGACTTTTTTTTTGGAACTGGGGATCGAACTCGGGTTCTTGCGCTTGCAAGGCAGGCGGTGGAACCACTGAGCTACATCCCCATGCCCTCACCCCCAGTGACTTTAACTTGGAGCTGGTGGGGAAGAAGCAGCTTGTGAGGACAAAGGCTGGACTTAGGACATCTGGACCAGCTGCCTGTGTCCCAGAGTCATCCATGAGAGATACCCAGTGCTCTGGCTCCTCCAGCTTGGGGTGTCACCAAAGGCAGAAGGGCAGAGCACCATCACCATGCCCATCCTCATGGTCACACATGGATGCCAGGCACTGTCATAGTCCAAGGCAAGAGAGGGGCAAAGCACTGGGAATCTCCCCAGGCTGGCTGGGGACAGTAGACTCTCCTTGGTGCAAAGGCAATGGTAACTGTTACCACAAAACGGCCTAAGGGTGTCTCGGTACATCCAAGTATCAGAAATGGAAACACCCAGAGTCCTGAGCTCTGATTCACCCGTGCAAGATTTTCTGGACTTTGTCTGCCACCCAGTAGCCAGAAGAAAGGAAGGTCAGGCTGTGTCTGAGGCCTGCCCAGCCCCAAGGCCCCATGCTCCAGAGTCTAACTGCTTTGCAAATGAATTTCTGCACCCAGATGGTGGCACAGACTGTCACCTCCTTCTGGAACACCCTTCACCTTCTTTTTCCCTGGGCTTCCTCCTCCAGCTGAATTCTCCCTTCTTCAGAGCCCCCAGAAACCTAGATGGGTTCTACATATGCCGCCCCCCCCTCCGCACCATCTTGTCTTCATACACTTGTCATCTGGGATTCCTTCCTGCTTTGTCTGTTTAATTGTCAGTGTGTGTGCCTCCCACCCAGAGCATTCCCAGCTCATAGTAAGTGGTCAGTAAATCAATGACAGAATGAACCCGTGGGTGCCACTTTCTGTGTGTCCCACCCCTATATAGTCTCAGCTTTCTAATGCTCAGCACCCTGGGGACATGAATGAGGCGATGCTGGATGGCTCATAAAGGGCTTATTTTTTTTCTGGGTGTGTGGTCCCTGCAAGTTGGGGAAGTAGGAGGATTTGCCTGTGTGGGGACTCTGCGGTCTCAATGCTCCAGTCACACAGCTGGATTAGGAGTTCATCTCTCTTTGCATGTCGTTTGCACGCTCTAAGCTTCCTCCTCCTGGTTTCCTGGTCTGTCTCCAGATCTACGAAGCTGGCTTGCTACTTCTTGCCTTCGCCTAGGGTCCCACTGTCCAGTAACAAAATCTGCCCAGAAGGGGTGATCGAAAGTCCTAGGTCAGGGTGATTGGCGGTGAAGACTGTGGTACCATGGTGATGGTGCCATGGAGGTTTGCTCAGTGCATTCACTGTGATGCTTCACCTTCCCAACAGCCCTGTGAGATTGGCACCAGTGTCATCCCCATTTGACAGGTAAGCAAGCTAAGCTTCAAAACAGTTAAAATAATTTACTGTCAATCTCAGGACTAACAAGCATCAGAGTCTAGAGTTGGGTCCAAGACTGTAGGATGCCAGAGCCAGGCCTACCCACTGTGCCAAACTGCCTGTGATGCAGGCAGCCCTCACCCAGAACCAAGAAGCTGGGCTGGCCCTACTGGAGGCTCTGTTACTCATGTGGTACTTTCTTAAGTCCTCTCCTTGTGGCCTTGTGGCTAAGCTGAGGATCCCCTGGAGAACGAGGAAGGGGGACCAGGCAAGAGCTTTGGATAACTAGAGACATCAAACTTCAGAGAAAGGAAAGAACTAAAGAAAGGCCAGCTGAAAGACACAGGTGCCTGAGGCCTGGGTACCCGAGCCCAGGGTGTGGTGGGAAAGGAGTGGGAAATGTGCAGGCATAGCCCTGCCCTGCCCTTCAGTGGTGGAGTGGCGGACAGAGCCACCGCAGCTGTCCCTGGAGGACTTGGGGACACGGCCTAGAGATTCACAAAAAATCCCCCAAGTGATTTTGATTCTCCCCCGAGGTTCTCCTGGGGTTTGGCCATTCTCTGGGCATTCCTCGGCACTTGGCAGCCGTCTGGACAGCAGGCAGGCCTGTGTCCCCCCTCTCTGCTCCCATCCCTGGCTGCTCGCTTCCTCTATTCGTGCTTTACCTGAGTGCTCATTCCTGTGGCTGGGGTGTGACCTTTTGGAGGCTGCTTCTGCCCTGGAGCTGATCCCCTTCGTGTCACCTGAGGTACCTGAGCAGAGCAGTCACCACTGCTCACTATACCAGGCTAGGAATTCCCAGTTGTCTTTGCTGCCACTCTTCTGGCCCCAGTGCTCCCCAAGCCAGGTGCTTTCTGGGAGAGGAGTTCAACAGGAGGACCTGTGTGTCTGTCTTCCCTGCAGGCAATGACTCAGGATGCAGCCAGGGGCCACGACATGCACAGAGGACCGCATCCAGCATGCCCTGGAGCGTTGCTTGCACGGACTCACCCTGGGCCACCGCTCCACCTCTTGGCCAGGTCAGTTATGGGGAAGCTGAGGAGGTGTTCTGAGGGCTCAAGGCAGCCTCGGGACCAGTTGGGGCGGGGGGGGCTGAAGGGTTCTGGTCCAAATGCTGTGCTTGCGACTTCAGCAAGTCGCTAGACTTCACCTGGTCAGGTGTCTGACATAACACCTGATGCAAAATAAGTCCTTGGTGTGTGGCTCTTTCTTCTTTCTCCCAGGTGTCTTCTTCATCCTGCTCGGAGCAGTACTGTGCTTCCTTGGCATGCATTAGAAATATAACCCCTGAAGAGGGCACCGACCCTGCTTAGAAACACCATAGCTGCTGATTCCCAAAGCACAGCTGGGCATTTGCAGATAGCTCTCCACACAGTTCTCTGCATGGTCCTCTGTGATCCATGCTCCCCAGGACTGACAGGCAGGGTGTCAACAGGCTGGGGCCATTGTATCTCTGAAGGTTGGTGCCTAACTACAAGAATTCCTTATCCCAGTTAGAGCTGGGTGTAATAGTAAACGCCTGTAATCCCAGTACTCAGGAGGCTGAAGCAGGAGGATCGTAGTTTGAGGACAGCCTGGGCTATGTAGTGAGATTTTGTCTCCAAAAACAAATATTTTTTTTTATATCCTGTATCTCATTTTGCTCCCTAACTACTCTATGGGATAGATACCCACAGTGTCTTGAACAGACCTAGTTGCCTCCTACCCCAAGATCTTTGCTCTTGCTACCTAGAACTCTTCCTATGAAATCACGCATAGCAAGTTTCAGCTTAACTGTCACTGCCTCAGAGAGCTTTACCTGGCTTTGGAATCAGGTCTGAATTAAAATTGTCTCTCATTGGCTGTACAGCCTTGGACAAGCCACATATTCTTTCAGGGCCCTATTTGTCTTCTCTGTAAAATGGGAATAATAACAGGAACCACCTTCCCAGACAGAGGGTGGGAAACTTAGAGAAAATATATGCAAAGGTCCACTGCCACACTGGCAAACAATAAGTGGTTAGTAGTTGTTTTGCTTCTGGCCTCCTACCCAGGTTTTGAGGGAGCCCAAGCCTAATGGGGGAGCATGAAGTAAAAAGATGTGAAAGTATCTGACTTTTGAAAGTTTTACCAACACCTTTGACTACATGAGAGCACTGAGGGGCTCCAGAACTTTAAAAGGAGCTCAGGCCTGAAATTCACGGTCAGCCCATCTCCACCCATAACTTCTGTCACTCTCCACTCCTTGACACACAGCTGCCCCTATTCCTGTGACCACCCATGAAATTTTAGGGGTTTGCCCTTGCTGAATTCAGGGAAACAGAGATCAACCAACTTAAGAAAGTCTAGGGAAGTTACAGTGACAAATGCTTATCATATCTTTTGAGCTATAGATAAATTTAGCTTCCCCTGCCCTAGCTCCACTGCCAGGCAGTCCTGGGAAGTCCCACATTGTCTCAGTCTTTCTCTTGGGTTTCCAGGTAGAGCTCACCATGGCTCCTCTCTGACTCTGATTTAAATGCCTTGCATCTCATAGGTACTGGCACCCTCTGCAGGAAGCCAGGGCTGTGGGGATCTGATGCTCCCCCCAGAAGTGGAGGGCTAGGCTTGGCATGTTCACTGGCCTCTGAGGGAATCCCAGCCTGGAGCCCTGATCTTCGTGGCTCTTGAGTCTCTTGTACATAGAGGAATAGGAAATGGGTTATTATGTCCTTAGGGGCACAGTAGGGTTAAGTATTGGTCCAGCATTTTCTCCAAGCCTCTCTTCCTTTAGAAAATGGTGCTCCAGTACAACCCAACGTGCAGTAAGTGTGTTCCAGCATAGATTTCTCCTTCTCTGCATTCCTGCCTAAGGGCAGCTAGCCAAAGCCTGCACTGACCACTTGCCTGTTTCACTCCCTCTCCAGCTGGACTGTGTCTGAACTGTTGGAGTCTGCAGGAGCTAGTCAGCAGAGACCCAGGCCACTTCCTCATCCTCCTGGAGCAGATCCTGCAGAAAACCCAGGAGGTGAGATTGAGCCAGGATAGGAAGGTGGAGCTGGGGTTGGCCTCCTAGAGTTGAAAAATGGGTTGGTCTTGGGGCACCTGGACCGGGGATTGGAGAGTGCTTGGCTAAGGCCCTGGAACTCACGAGTTTTGTCATTCTACCAGTGTTTGTGTATTGAGAGGTTCTAGAAGGGGCTGTATTCTTCCTAGAGTGAACATGTAGCAGGTGAGCCAGGGGCAAGAGTGTAAGCTATTTCTTAGGACAAGCGTGGCTTGTAAGTCAAGGCATTGGATAGAAAGGAGAGAGGAAGCTTTACTGAATTCCTTTCCTCCAAAGGAAAATGTAACAACAGAGACATGGAAGAGAAAGCCGATGTGGAAGTCTCTTGTACATAGAGGAATAGGAAATGGGTCATTATGTCTTGATGGGGCACAGTAGGGTTGAATGTTGGTCCAACATTTTCTCCAAGCCTCTCTTCCTTTAGAAAATGGTGCTCCAGTACAACCCAACATGCCTCTTCTGACAGTTTAGTACGAGGCTTTTGTGACTGTGGAGTATGTTTAATGCTGACCTGGGCTGTGGTTCCAGACTGGCTGTGAGTCCCCAAAGAGGGTTCTGGCTCTTTTTAAGTTTTGTCTTGCTTTTAGAAGCACTAGTGATTTGGAAAACATGATTTTTCTCTCTCAGTTGGCCACCCCTATAAGAAGAAAGTTTGTCAAGGTATCCAAAGTCACAATTCTGACATCTTTTGCCTGATGCTTTTATATGCTAATCACAAGCAAACCTATTCAAGAGCTAACTTAGAAACCTAAATATAGAGGATCAACTGCTATGTAGCCGTAGGGGAGGGTTTTGTAGAGGAGCCCAGCAGCTGTGGCAAATACATCCTCTGTTCATAGTACAGAGAAGGGAAGGTCTAAATTTGACCCTGCTGAAGTCTGTCAAGCTCAGAAGAGATGGTAGGGTTTTCTCAGTGCCTCTAACCCCCACCAGTTTCAGAATAGGCCAAGAGACTTTATGACAATTTGACCTTTCTGTCTTCTCTGCAGGTCCAAGAGAAGGGCACCTATGACCTCCTCACCCCGCTGGCTCTGCTCTTCTATTCCACTGTCCTCTGTGTAAGTCCAGGTGGGCCAGGACAGGAAAGCAAGAGAGGAAAGAGAGGGAAGAAAGGGAAAGAGAAGAGAGATCCCCAATGTGGGCATAGCCCTCACACCTCTGGGGGGTAAGCAGAGAGAGAAACTGTCAAGTGATGACACTGAGATGGGTTTCAACCCCTGATGTCTTCAGAGCTGCCATTTTGAGAGGCTTCCAATAACTCCATGTGGCCGCCATGGTGCCGCCATCTCTGGGCTTCCAGAGAGGAACTTCTGTGACAGCATCTTCAGAAGTCTCAAGAGATTCTGTGGAGAGATTTTAAGTCCATCCCAATGATTTCACTCAATGATTTGCCCTATATTCACCAGACTAGTGATACCAAGTGGCATCATGTATATTGGGACAATCCATTCAAGGATTAAACATTTCTGTCTACTGAGAATATTTAAATAAAGGTGATTTAAACTTTGCAATTCATGCTCCAAAATGAGTGGCGACAATGGCACTATTTAGAACGACCTCCGAAGTGACAGCTTTGCAGAGAAGCTCTCTCAAGTGTTGATTAAACCACGGCCTGTTAGGTAGAGACAAGGCCCTTATTGTAGAAATAGCCTGCACTTGTAATTTATTCCCTGCGAGTCACTTCTACTTCTTCCCAACACTGTCCCATGACACACTGCTCCCAGGAGATGCTCATTCTTTCTAGAACAACCCAGAAAGGAAGCAGAAGCAATCCTGGAAGAGCAGTGAGCTCTTTCTCACACAGGTCTTTCTGTTTGCTGTCCTTCTCCATCCTAGACACCACATTTCCCACCAGACTCAGATCTCCTTCTGAAGGCAGCCAGAACCTATCACCAGTTCCTGACCTGGCCTGTTCCTTACTGTAGCATCTGCCAGGAACTGCTCACCTTCATCGATGCAGAACTCAAGGCCCCAGGTAAGTGTTGGGGAGGCTGGCACAAGACGCAGGGCTAGCATGGTCAGAGTGTTTCTGTCTCCTCTGAAACTGTTCTTTGGATATGATTCTCCTCACCTCGCAACCTTTGGTTCATCTCTGCCTGCACCTTGGGTCAAAACCTTGGAGTCCCGGTCCAGGGATTTAACTCAGTGGTTTTGCCACCTACCTCACAAGCACAGGGTCCTGAGTTCGATCCCCGGTACCAAAAACCCAAACCAAACAAAAGAAAAAAACCCTGGAGTCTCCCCTTCATGGCACACGCAGGATCACAGGCTGACTGTCTGAGCTAAAGGTAGTAAACACAGGAGGGAGCACAAGGCAGAGTCTTTAGGACAAGCAAACCTTGCCACTTGTCTGTGCCTCTGCTCTGGTTAACCAAGGGGTCTCTAACGTTGCCCAGGTCAGCCCTAGGAGCCCCCAGAATACTGACTGGAGGCCCTCACTTGTTTTCTTTGCCCAGGAGCAGACAGGCAATTGCATGTGTGTGTTGCCTCAGTTCTGGCCAAGGCAGGTGGCCAGTGGGAGGAATGGACAGATTCATGGCCACCATGACAAGTAGGGACAAGGGCTTGGTACTGACTGTGTTTTGATGTGTAGGATCTGAAAGTCAGAAATTCTTGAGAAATTCCAAATGCTGTTATGGACATGAAGATGAAGTCTAAGAAAACGTTGATAGAGCAAGAGAAAACACAATCAAGTATGATTTACTGAGAAGCCATCTCGTATTAATCTATCACATTAATCTTCCAAGGAAGTTGAACCCAGGGAGCGCTAAGCTCCATCCCCAGCCATTTTTCATTTTTAAATGTTGAGATAGGGTTTTGCTAAGAATTCCAGGCTGACCTCGAACTTGTGATCCTCCTCTCTCAGCCCTCTACCCCCAAGTAGTTGGAATTACAGATGAGCTCCACCATGCCTGGCTATCAATAATATTTAAAATACAGCAACAGCCCAAGTTGAAACACTAGAGGTGTTTCTACTAAACTCAGTTATCTTTCTCTTTTTGCGTATAGGTGTTTTACCTATGCAAAAAGACATAAAGACTATTTCCTCATCTGGAGAAGGTAACATTTTACTGTTTTTAATGCTCAAACAATTGCTTATCTGTCAAATCTAAGAATCACCTGAATGAATAATTTTCAGAACTAAAAAACAGGGAGTTAAGAGCTTTCCCATACATCAACCAATAAGAAAACATAGTGTGGGAGGCATGTTGTGGTTACAACTAAAAATATAAAATAAAGAAATGTGAATAACCAACACAGAGAAAACCTATGAAACCTTTACTGAAGGACAAATAAAGGAAGAGGTATATTGTTGAATTGAATAAATATCATAATAGCATTAGTTATTACAGAAATAAATGTAACCACAATCAATATATCAACAAGATCTTTTTAAATTTTGACAAAATAAAGTAAATGCTCTGAAGTAGTATTTATACATTTATTATGTATTTATTTGTATTTCTGTTGTTGTGTTTTGTTTTGTTCGAGAGGGTCTTGCTGTATAGTCCAGACTGGTCTAGAATTTGAGATCCTCCTGACTCAGCCTCCTTAGTGCTGGGATTGTAGGTGTGTGTATTTTATAAGGAGAGTCAGAATGTGATATTTGTCTTACTAGATCTTTGAAAGTAGTATAGGGCTATGGTTAAGATAGCACATGCAATGAACCTTTGACTTAGGAACTCAGTTTGTCTGAGAGGGATGGTTGTAGCTCAAGTTAGTCAGTTGAAGGTTCAGGCTCCTCTTCACAGTCTTTAAAGCCACTCTCCTATGTACAGGATCTCATTGTGCTTAGAGAGACATTGGCCCAGGATTTCTCAATTAACCCCACACAGGAAAGGATGTTGCCATGTCCCTTCCAGAGCTCGTTAAGGGTTAAATCTGTACCTGAGACCACCTGGAAGCACAAGCAACCAGCATATGAGTTATAACTCAAGACTTTGATTGTAAGTTAAAACTAATATTCTGGTCATAACCCAAGTTGTCTGTATGTCAGGCTGGTTGTATACTTGAGGGTCCACTGTATTGGTATAAGAATAGATAGGTTAATTGAACAAAATACACTATCTACAAACAGAATGAGTACATGAAAATTTGTTATATGACAAAGTGGTATTTTTAAACCAGTGTTGGAAAAAGATATTGGGCTTGGAAAGGTGCCGAGGCACATTAGAAAAGTCTGCCCACCTAAGCTCACAAGGCAGAGGACTGTTTTAAGGTCAGTGCTTTCATTCTCTCCTCGCCTCCCACTGACCCAAAACAAACTGATCTGGACTTCTTTGGGCTTCTTGCTGGTGACTGGAATTCCTTTATCAGGAGGTGAATCTTTTCTTCCCTTCTGTAATTTGGAGAGGTAAAGAGTATTCAAAATGCATAAGCCACGGCAGGGCCTTCAGTTTATACTTAACATCTGACTGACTCCTTATTTTGAAATTGGTAAGGCAGATGCTGGGTTGGAGAAGGGGCGTCACCTGTGGGGAGACCTCTCCCCAGTTTTAAAGTAGACACAGCTGGCTCACCTTTGGTGCGCGTGTGCTCTGCTTGGGGATATTTTTGTGAATGGCTGGGTGGGAGTTCCATTCTGGGCAGCCCAAAATGCAGATGTGGAAGGAAGGGACTGGTGATGGGAAGGCCCAGACCCTGTGTGATAGAGGGGTAAACCTGGGGGACAACAGCCAGGCAGATGGGACACTGGAGATGAAAATGGAACGAGGGTCTTTGGCCCCAGCCACCACGCACTGCTGAGAGTCCTGTCCTTTACGTTGCTCCTGGGACCACATGAGGCCTCATACATCCTGGTGACCAAGAGGGCAGGTGCCTGAATAGGAAAGTTCAAGCCAAGCTATCCATGCTAAAAACTTCTCCTTTTCGAGGGAAATCAGAACTGAAATGGGAAAGTGTTAACTCTTTTTCATGTCAAGAGATCATTTTCAAACAGTTGAAAAACTCACGGAGCTTTGTAGTGTGTCAGTGTGGGAGATGTGCTCCACTTTGTTGAGGCAACCAGCAAGACGGTACAAAGAAAGACGGGAGAAACTGATGTAAGTCTCATGTAAGCTAGGTATGATCATAGAGGGGAATAAAACCACAATACCGTAACTTTGGGGGTTACCTTTTCTTTTTTTTTTTTTCCTTTTGGTACTAGGGTTTGACCCCAGGGGTGCTCTTTCACTGAGCTACATGCCCACCTTTTAAATTTATTTTTTATTTTAAAAAAATTTTTGGTACCAGAGTTCAAACTCATGACCTTGCACTTGCGAGGCAAGCCAGCCCAATCCCCACCTTTTGAGATGGAGTCTCCCTAAAGAGACCCAGACTGGCCTTAAACTTGTGAAGCTCCTGCCTCAGCCTTCTGAGTACCTGGATCACGGGCGTACATCGCAGTGCCTGGCTGGGTGTAATCTTTTCTACCCAAGAAAAATCACTTGCAACTTAATCTCCACACGTTAACCTCTAATTTCACAGAACCTGAGCCATAATCAGTAGCAAAGAGTAGGTTATATAAAATTTCCTTCTGAGGTGGACTTGTTAGAAAATGCTTTAGTATGACTTTTGATGGTGCCTTTTCCCAAATCACCCCAAATTCAGTGATCCCAGCTGAGGGAGGCAATGGAGAGCAGTGGGAGAAGGCTAGAATGGAGACCAGGGAACTTGACCTTGGAGGAGAGGCCAGATAACTAACTGAGTGGTCACCCATACTTGGCACCAGACCATGGTGGTCCCAAGTCCTAGTTCTGGGTCTGGTGGTCAGTAGCACTGGGCCTTCAGCAAGATGTTTGACTTTGGTGAGCCTCAGTTTTTCATCCATAAAATGGGAGTATAATGATGCCTCCTCAGAGCAGTTTGTGAGGATGGATGCTGCCTACCTTGGTTTCATACTGCTGTGGGCAATAGGGGTTGAGGTAATGTTAGCTTAAGACTTGGGTCTGGGCAAGGTCATAGGGAGAAAATGACAAGAGACCTGGGGAGTTGGGTCCTCCACCCATGAAGCCTTAGGACCTAGTTACCATGGAGACTGTGGCCAAGTGGCAAAGGAAGTGGGCTGGTTATCAAGGCTGAGAGCCTCCCCCTTCTTCCTGACTCCACCCCCTAGTGGGGTCGTCTTCTGCCTGCACTCTGGGGGTGGCAGGAAACCTCACACCATGGTGCTGGCCTGCCCACCACAGCTCTCTTGGGCTCTACCTCCATGCTTTATTGAATGCCCTACTCTGCCACCATGGCAACGAGGACCGCGCTACTCGCCAGGAAAGAATCGATCTGTAATCTTGAACAGCAACACTGGGCATCTTATGCAGGAGTCACTCAGCAATGTCAAAGCTTACAAATGTCAAGGAGCTCATCTTGTTCAGACCACAGCTCTGCAAGGTGAGAAGGAGTCTTCACATTCCCACTTCATACATAAGGAAATTCAGACTCAGAGAAGTTCGGTGTCTCTTGTGCAAGCTGAAAGCCAAGTGTGAGAGAAGCCGTATGAACCTTAGTATGAGAGACTACACTTTGCCACTGTTGCAGTTACTTTCCTCATTGCTGAGAAAGAAACATCCAACAAGCCAGGCCTGGTGGTGCACGCCTGTAATCCCCGCACTCAGGAGGCTGCGGCAGGAGGATCGCTGGAAGTTCTAGACCAGCCTGGCCTACATAGTGAGTTTCAGGTCAGTGTCAGCTACATAGTGAGACCCTGTCTCAAAAACAAAAAACAAACAAACAAACAAAAAATCCAACAGCCAAAGTGAAAGGAGGAAAGTTTTATTTTGGCTCACAGTTTGTAGAGGTTTCAGTCCATAATTGGCTGGCTCCAAGGCAGGATTGCACAGCACAGGATCATCGCAGAGGTAAAACAGACCAGGCAGGAGGCAGCACAGCCACAAAGAGTCTGCCTCTCCTTTTTATCCCTTCTAGGCTACCAGCCTTTTGGGTGGAACATTCACATTCAGGGTGGGCCTTCCCCTTATCCACACCCAGCTAAGCCAATCA